ATTATTATTGAAAAAATTAAAAAAATATTAACTTAATATTTTTTCAAAACACATTTATTTTTTTAAAAAATTTAAAAATAAGAGCCATTAAATTTAAAAAACGCACAACAGCAGATGCGGGTAAGGTTAGGGTGACAAAGTAGCAACTGTGAGAATCTCTGAGATGATGCTTCTCTTGCCATATGATTTCCAATGGCACCTCATCCAAATGTATTCGGTTCATTATTAGCGAGAGTGTCATTAGAGCTAGCGGCATCATTATTACCTGTACTTTCCTACGGTAAATTGCTTTGCATTCAGACAAATTAGGGATCAGCAATCATGGCTGAATTGATAAAAGCCCAGTCGATATCTTGATTGAGCGAAGCTGTTTAGCATTGAAGGGCTAACGCATAATATGATTATGAAGCTATCTATTTCTTAGCATTAGGGTTGGAACATGGAAGCAACAACAGTGGCTTTTTGTACATATAAAATACACATGAATGCATGGACATTGGATACATAACACCAGTGGTTTGATTATTAGAACAACTTCATATCATGAAACCTGACATTGCTCCACACTATCGAACACTCATTACGACTTCCACTGAGAGATTTGCTTGATTGATATAAATTTTCACGTTTGAAAATGGCTCCAAAACTTTGAAATTGGAGTTTTGGAATCAGGGATTTATGTTTATATACAATTGCCTCAGATATGATTATTGAATGATTTGACAACGAGACGGCGGCATCGACCTCAGTTTTGATTTTATTTTTTTAAAAACAGACACTCAAAACAATATTATTTTAATAACAAACAACCCCCACTAAACTGTGTTTTCCAATAAAATTATAATTTTTTTAATTTTTAGTATTAGAAAATATTTTTTTTGTTTTCCTACAGCTCATCATATTTTTTTTTTTTGAAATTTGATTTGGTTGCTTAATTTAATATGAGTATCTAATTTTACTATAATATAATTAAATTAAAAACATTATTTTTTAAAAGTCATACAACTCATCTATATTCATTATTAATAATTAAAAATATGAATTGAACATGTTAATTTGAGTTGATTTAAAATATTTTAAAATATTATCTTTTCTATATTAAACTAAAAAGGAAAAAATACTAATGAAATAAAAAAAAATATTGACAAAATAGTTTATTACAAATGAATTTAAATTATTATGCTAGGGAAAAATACGAATGAGATAAGGAAAAATCATACTGGCAAAATAGTTTGTTACAAATTAATTTAAATTATTATGCTATTTATAAAAAAATATTTTGTATATCTAAATAAAAAAACAAGAGGCTCCTCGCAACACAAAATAAAATTTTTTTAATTAGTATTAACAACTTTTTTTAATATTAATCTATATAAATAATCATCAACTCTATTTTATTAAAAATATTCATCAAATCTTGAGCTCACAATTTTTTTTAAGGCTAAAAAACCCACTTACAAATTTTGTGCTTTTTTTACATTCAATTTTTTTTAGGGTCACCCGTAGCAAAACACGAGTAAATTATCTAGGAAAAGAACAAAATTGAACAGGCGCATGGACGCCAATTATCTAGCTTCCCACAACACTAGATAAAATATCTTAATTGATATTTATATATAAGTTTTTCAACTTAGTTTTTAGTTAATGTAGATAATTTTTTAAATATTATATATATATATAATATAATGCTTAAATAATTTAAATAAATGAATTTTTGAATTATTAGCTAAATTTTTTTATTGATATATAACTCTGCATGTTTTTTTTTTTTTAAGTTAAAAAAAAACTTTTGCGACAACTTGGATTTGAGCGCGGACAAGCTAACTTTACAACGGTAGAAATATGACCAAGAAAAACGCAGCTCGAGGTTGGGTCCCTCTTTGTTAGCAGATCAAAGCTTCACTGTTACGAATCAACTTTTTCTCCCTCCGACCCCCTCTGTATTGGAAAGCAATCAGTCCAAAACGTATAGTATTTTCTCATTAAACCTGACGAAGACGAGCGAAACTATTACCAGCTTCAATGTTTTCAACTTCTTAAGATTTTTCTTCAGTATAAGTTGGTTTCAGTGATCCTTGAAACCACATATATAAATATATCAATTACTAATAATATTCAAGATCGCAATTGGGGATATATATAGCTTCAATTTAAGGTGTTTCCTCGTTGAGCTTATGCTCAGTGTTTTTCTTCTTCTTTCTATATGTACTAGAATTATTATTTTTTTGATTTTTTTTGGGTGATTTATATATTGATAATGACCAATCCACACAAAACGCGGATCTTATGCTAGTCAGTACTGCAACATTGGAAATTAAGGAAGTCATCTCGAATGTTTGGTTCAAATATTGTTTGCATGAGAAGTGATGAAGAGATGGAGACCCATGGAAATTATACCTGGTCATGAAGATCTATCTCGAGTGAATTAATTAGCTCAGATATAATAATTTCTGATGTGTGACTTGTTTTACAATGGAAGCAAATCATGTTCTCTCTTTGATCTCTACATGAAAATATAATAATAAATCAACTCATGTCTTAGCCATGTATGTAGATCAAACTCAGGGAAAAGAAGGGCTGGTGGATCGTGATCTACAGTACAAAGGCTAGCAAATAATTGAACTGATCACTTCTCGTGGGGGCCATTGTTAAAAAACCTCCATCTCCATTTTATCACTCTCCGTTTTGGCATTGATGCCCTAAAAAGGAAGGACACTCATAGCGTCGTGGACCTTTTAAGGTGATGAATACATTGGGCTACATTATAGTCGAGCAAAATATTTTACTTGTCTTCACTTCTGTTTCATGGTTCTCGAGAGATCTTTTTTGCTTTTTAAGTCATAATTTGATCTAGCACTGTCGAAAATATTTGCTTTTGGCCCCTTATATCTGAAGGCAGACAATGATATGTACATTTCTGGGCACGAAGTTAACAACTATCTAGGCTACGTGGTCTTTCTTGTCTTCCTAACAAAGTCGAACATGTTGCTTAGGACAGCCTCATAAGCATGATCGAGGTAGATTTTCTTTTTCTTTTTCTTTTTTTGGCCTGGACAGCTGTTTTTAGACAGAAGAATGCTTTGGAACCATTTGAGTAGCTTCAGAGTTTTGCAGTAGTTGCTTTTTACCAGAAAATTTGCTGCAGTCCTTGTCAACACAGAGGAATAGAGGATCAATGACTGAACAACTCCATAACCCTTTTGTTTCACTAGAATTGACCAAGACTAGCTCTCATCTAATATTTATTTGGCTTGGAAAATGACAAATTTGAAATTGCTGATACCGTATATATTTCCTTTCCTATTATACATGAAATGCTTCCATAGAGCAATTCGTGGCATGTAGGGAAGAGGGGGTTAGGTAAGGAAAGGAAATTGCTATAAGATAGATAGCTCTTCCAGCACATAAGAAAATGAAAGCCACGAGGTATCCTTTTGCCTGAGATAGCTAAAATGCTCAAATTCTAATTTTCTGGTCTACATATCAAATAGTGCCAAGCTTGTTGATCACTCATGAAGACCACCTGTCAAGGTCATTTAGTTCCGCTTCAAAGTGAGAACATCTTGGTATTGATCATTCCTGAACTTAATTAATAATTAATTTTCTGCCTTAATTATCTTGCAAAAAGCAACAAACAATACATGATATGTAAATATATATATATATATATATATATATCATGGTCCCGCAATTTGTTGTTTTAGAAGTGTATATGTATAGGATAAATCTATAACAACATTAATAATTAATGTTATGATTATGAGGATATGGAATAAAGATCATTTTGAATATTAGATTAATTATATTCTATAATGATGTTGGGGTTTTAAAAATTGAAAAGCAAAAGCCAAATTAATAGACAAGAAATGAAATACTTCTGCAGAAATTTCTTTGAATTGATGAATATATAAATGTTCTGCTTTCAACTGTTCACATAGCCTTACAAGACAAGCAAATGTCCTTATTGGAAATGAACAGAAACCTTTATCTATGAACACAGTCATGCCAATCTTACTGATGTTACCATTATCTGCTTAATTAGCTCATTAATCTCTTCCTTCATCCTTCTTGTCCTTTTAGGTCCTCAACTAATTAAACTAATTAACACATGAAACGGACATAGTTTTGTACCTACAGCTATATACAGAGGACTAATTAATGACACCTATCTTGTGCTTCCTAAAATGATTAATCAGGTACTAGCACTTATGATGGACGCTCTGATTCATCTTTTTGTTTTTTTCCCCTGGATATATGATCACTTTTATTTTGTCACACGACATATAATCTTATTAAGTTGCATGACAGCAAGCATTTTAGGGAAAAGAAAGCGCTTTGGCTGCAAAAAGATATCTCTTTTCTATAACGAGCTTTCTGTTAGTAGGAAAATGAGGAAGTAATTTGCTTGAGAAGCAAATACTATCAGGCTGTCAGCTGATAATAAAGAGATTATGTTTGAATGTAATTCACGTTAGCTAGCTCGTAATCTTAATCAAGATCAACAGACAGGCATGTAACGAATTAATATGCAACAATAATTTTGCCCTAGCTAGAGAAAATGTTGTACTAAAAGTACCTGTGCATTTCTTCTCTCTGGATTTGAAGCCTGCTACCCGTGTTTTAGAAGTATAAAGCTAGAGAGAGAAAGAGAGCATTATGTGAAGTGGAAGCAAAATTGCATCTGTCTCATACACACATGATGATTACCTTGTGAGTGAAGAAAAATGCATCGAAAAAGACAAGATAGAGTCAAAGACAAGAAGACCAACCGTTCCTTCTCTTTCTCTGTGAGCTAGGGAGGTCCCCCTCCAATCCGTTTTCCACTCTACCCATCAACCAACAACAGACACAAATATTGCTCTCTCTATTGATCTTTCTCTTCATATTCTTTTTGTAAAGCAAACCCCACAACCATCACAATCATCGTCAGTCTTACCACTCCATGAAGCGTCCTCCCCCCCCCCACCACCCCTGATACACGACTACAAATTAACAATATTTATCATTTACCTAGCTATATAGCTTTCTCTCATTTCCATCAAACAAGTTAAGATTAAGAGAAGAAAGGCTCCCGTAGTACTAGCTAGCTAGCTTATCAGAGTATACTATCAAACACAATGAGGAAGCCGGATCTAGTGGGCAAAGATAGAGTACCGAGCAATAGTAGTATTAACAAGGCCAGACTTAGAAAGGGTTTATGGTCACCAGAGGAAGATGAGAAACTCATCAAGTATATGTTAACTAATGGACAAGGGTGTTGGAGTGATATTGCTAGGAATGCTGGCTTGCAAAGGTGTGGCAAGAGTTGCCGTCTTCGTTGGATTAATTATTTGAGACCCGACCTCAAGCGTGGCGCCTTTTCTCCTCAAGAAGAAGAGCTTATCATCCATTTGCACACTATTCTTGGCAACAGGTACTTCTTTTTTTCTTTATTCTTCTCTTTTCTATATAACGGTCAACCAAATAATGTTAATATATATATATATATATGTATGTATGTATGTATGTATAACATTTTAATTATGTCAACAATCCCAGTTGCTGGCGCTGTTTCGTTTTGTAAATACATCAAGATACTCTTGGATCGATCGATCATGCATGGATAAGAAAAGAAAAAGAAAAAGGAAGCTAGCAATTACTTAAACAAATTGGTAATCAGACCTAGTTTAATCACTTGTAAATTCAGAAGATATAGTAGTACCAGCTGTAACAAATGTGTAGCGTAGACAAGTTGCAATAATGTTAGTTATTCATCAGTTTCGTGACTAGAAAAGTATAAAAACCTCCCAGACATTTGTAGATATTAAGTGGATATAACATTGAATGACAGTAATATTCATGCACATTTTGCCTTCTCTTTATATTATTTTCACCTAGAGGCTTTGAGGAGTTTGTCAATGTGTATATATATGCTAAACTATGTATTAACTTCTCTTAATTTACTGGATTATGCCATTGGCTCCTAGCTCCAGTGGGTCATCGATTTGATATGCCTTGTGAGAATATATGTAGTTTGCAGTTGGTTTTATAAGTTTGTTATATGGACCGAATAGTTTACCAACAGTTAACAAATTCTGATATGCCTCTTATTTGGAGTTTTCAGCTTCATTTAATTTGATCACCCATAAATCATTACCGTTCTGCACAATTTTCGCTGAAAATTCTCATAGCACTTATCATGTTTTAATCCAAATTGGTCTAGTGCATGTTATAAAAAATCTTAACAATAGAAAAGTTGCACCGAGAGGCTTGGCCTAGCGGTAAAAGGGGCTTGTCTCCTTTCACTGCACATGGGTTCGAGTACTGACGTGTATGCCTGTCATCCCCGCGATGCCTTACCTGTTTGCTAGGTTTGCAGGGTATTCAGTGGGCCGTGGGGATTAGTCGTGGTGCACGCAATCTAACCCGGACACCCCACATAAATAAATAAATAAAAAACAATAAAAAAGTTAAAATGAATGAAAAAACCTCCCACGCACACAAAAAAAAAGAGCACTAATCAACTTTTGTCGCCCTTTTTTCAGAGGTTTCCTTTATGCTTAGTAGAATCTGTTCAGAAACAAGACGAGAAAAGAAAGGAAATGTATATTCTGCCTAGTAGGGAGAGAAATAAGCGTGTGCTCATCCCTTCCTTTTCAGCTTTCAGCATAACTAAGATGCATGCTTTGAATATATATATGGATACGTGTTTGTTACAGACTCACAGTTATGTATTTAAACAAAGCAGGTGGTCTCAGATTGCGGCACGTCTTCCAGGAAGGACAGACAACGAAATAAAGAATTTCTGGAACTCCACATTAAAGAAAAGATTGAAGATCAATAACACTTCCACATCCTCACCAAATGACAGTGATTCATCAGAGCCTAGAGATCATGCCGTAGGAAATATCATGCCTATGCATGATCCTGACATTATGACTCTATGCATGGACTCATCTTCCTCATCATCCATATCCATGCAAGGTATGATCACAAGCAACCAATTTGATTCTTTCTCCATGCTCAACAACCGCTATGATGTGACTGGTGCAGCAAGTTTATTTGACATGTCCACATGCTTGACACAAGTGGGCATGGGAGATGGATTTTATGGTGATCATTATGGGATTTTGGAGGCCAATAATAAAACGGGGCTAGAAAGTGATCTTTCTCTTCCACCATTAGAGAGTAGAAGCTTTGAAGAGAATAATACAGTGAGTAATAACAGAATTGGCATGAAAAGCAGCAGCAGCAGCAACAACAACAACTGCTTTGATAATGCTTGCTTCGATAATACTTTCTTCAACAATACTGATCAGAGATTTAAAGTAGAGGACATGTTGGGGCTTGAAAATCATTGGCAAGGAGAAAACTTGAGAATGGGAGAATGGGATTTTGAAGGTTTAATGGAAAACATAACTTCCTTTCCTTTACTTGATTTCCAAGTAGAATAACCATCTACCCTTACCCCCCCC